AACCAGCCCTGCACCCCCCCACCAGTCGGGCCTTTATGGCAGAGTGGCCTGACGGAAGCCTCTCCGCAGTGCAAGACACATGAAAGCCCGCATGGAGTTTGCTAAAAAACACCTGAAGGACTCCAAGATGGTGAGAAATAAGATTCTCTGGTCTGATGAGACCAAGATAGAACTTTTTGGCCTTAATTCAATCAATTCATTAATGCAATCGAGGGAAGGATGAATGCGGCCAAGTACTGGGATATCCTGGACGAAAACCTTCTCCAGAGTGCTCAGGACCTCAGACTGGGCTGAAGGTTCACCTTCCAACAAGACAATGACTCTAAGCACACAGCTAAAATAACGAAGGAGTGGCTTTACAACAACTCTGTGACTGTTCTTGAATGGCCCAGCCAGAGCCCTGACTTAAACCCAATTTAGCATCTCTGGAGAGACCTGAAAATGGCTGTCCACCAATGTTTACCATCCAACCTGACAGAACTGGCGAGGATCTGCAAGGAGGAATGGCAGAGGATCCCCAAATGCAGGTGTGAAAAACTTGTTGCATCATTCCCAAAAAGACTCATGGCTGTATTAGCTCAACAGGGTGCTTCTACTAAATACTGAGCAAAGGGTCTGAATACTTATGACCATGTGATATTTCAGTTTTTCTTTTTTAATAAATCTGCAAAAATGTCAAAAATTCTGTGTTTTTCTGTCAATATGGGGTGCTGTGTGTACATTAATGAGGAAAAAATGAACTTAAATGATTTTAGCATATGGCTGCAATATAACAGAGTGAAAAATTTAAGGGGGTCTGAATACTTTCCGTACCCACTGTATATGTGGAAATGAAGTGTACAGTAAAGTATAAAAGCCAGCAATGTGTCTAATTAAACAGAGCTTTAGAAAGCTTTATCATGTCAGCTAAATGCAGCTTTGACATATTCATAGTGCCCCATTGTTAACAATGGGAGTTACTAGTGATTGATTTATTTTTAAAGTTATGTCCTTAACAGGAGGGTTGTACCTTTTTGTAGATGTTAAAACTGTTTAAAGGCCCTTAAACATTCATTCCTCCTTAAAAAAAATGTATTTTGTAGTTGGTATCGGCTGTTGAATTGAGATATAAGACTGTAAAGGATTGTTGAAACTTTATGTGGAATATCAGAGGATAGGAAGTGTTTTAATCATTGTTTGTTTTATATTTAAATATTTAAGTCATGTATATAGTACACCTGTGAATGTGTATTTTTTTTTTTTTTTTAAACCAGGAAGGCAATTGGTACCATAGATGTGATTGGTGGGCAGACAGCCACCATAAGCAGGGTTGAAGGGCGACGCAGACACAACGTGGAAGGCAATAATATCCAGGTACAAGAACAGATCAGACACCCTGAATCAAGAAAAGCAGTGCAGTGTAATTTTTGCTGTGGTGAAGTCTTGGTGCTGTCTCTTGCTCATGTGTGTTTTTTTTGTGCAGGTGATCTCTGAACACTCCACAACAGAGGCTGAACCCACCCCAGCTAAGATACCCACCTTCTTCCCCCCAGGGCCACTTCCTCCAAACATACCCCCACCTCCATTCCTCCCTCCGCCACCTAATGTTAGCACTGCGCCTCCACATATCCCCCCACCCAGTAAGTTCATCATCATGTTTTTTTTCTCAGCTTTTCTCTTGTTGTATTTGATTTGAAGCCACCATCTTGTAGCTGTGTGTGCATAACTCTGTTTTACTGCTGTTAAAATGTTTCCTCCCTCTCTTTTGCCTTATAGGGTTGCCCATTACTGTTCCTCCTCCTGGTTTTCCTCCTCCACCTAGTGGGCCTCCTCCTGCTATTATCCCCCCGCTGGACAGGTAACACACAAACACAAGAAACCCAGGGCCGTTGTACAATTCAACATAAATATTGGTGGATTTAAGGTGATTATGGTGCAAGATCAGCCACTTCTAACTTGGATTTGAGGAAATACAACCAAGTGTAAATTTAAATGTAATGTAAAGAGGGCTGTGGTTAATACATAATAATAATAATAATAATAATAATACATGTCTCGACAGTGACTTTATGTTCCACTTTGTTACATGACTTGCTACTGATATGAAAGAAAGAAAATACTCTAAAATGTTCTTTAAGGTCATTTTGTAGAACAGGGCTTTTCAAAGTTTGGGAAAGTGAGCCTACCCTCAGGGAAGATCATGAAAACATCTCACATCATCACTGCGACTATGCACAGAGCTGCTTTTCATATTACAGTCTGAACATTGTGGGTATTCCATAGCTTAGTTGAAGTTTGATGTTTACAGTTATTTTTTCCCCTCACCCTGTGCCTCCCCTGAAGCCCTCTGGTGCCCCCCAGGGGAGGCACACCTCACACTTTGAAAACTGCTGTTGTAGAGGTTTCTTTTTCTCACTAAAATCTGGATCTCACCCAGTGTATGCATTTGTTGTAAAGTTATATAATGAACTAAGAACCGTTGCTATTTGCCTGTTGGTCATAAAATGTTACACAGTGGTGTCATTGTAGAGGTTGTGGTGATGAGGGCATACAGTTTAACAATACTGGTCACTGCTGCCACATTAGCATTAATGTTTCCCTTCTGTACTGTTTAACATTTGGGCACCACAATTATGGAAGTATAAGAGCAGACACACACAAACACACACACACTTACTATCTGGAACATGTTGCCATCCCTCTGTTTCCACAGTGGCCACCCTGGAGGTTATGATGGACGGTCTGTCCCTCCATACCCGTTTCCTCAAGGTAGAATATTTTACAACTTAATTTGATTTTTTTTTTTTTACCTCAGCAGTACAGCAAATGCCACAACTTTCAGTCCATTAATAAGATATAAGATGCAGCAATAACAGATGTGGTGAGAGTGGCACATTAAGATAAAACCTACTTTTCACATTAGAAGTGCTTGTTGTTCACTTCATCAGGTTTAGTGTTGTTGTACAAAGCTATACATAAACTTTTTAACATTTTCATCTGGATGTTTCTGTTGGATTTAAACTAACTTTTATTAAACATTGAAACACAAAACAACTTAATCCAGTTCTGCCTCTTTATCCTCAGGTGCATACCCTCCACCAATGGCTGGAGGTGTGCCTCCTCCATGGCCCCAGATGATTGACACCTCTAAGCCCTGGGACTATTACTCCCGTCGAGATGACAAGAGAGAGAAAGACAGAGAAAGACCCAGAGAAAGGACGCATGAGCGGGAGAGAGAGAGGGAGCACAGTCCATCAGCTATGAGCTACACCAGGTGAGCGGGACAAAATACACAGTAATAATGCAGCTTTTGATTTCCTCTTTTTTTTTTGGCTTTTACATGTTATTCCGGTTTTCTTTGGTACCTACAACCCAGCTCACTGCTTGCCACATGCATCTGAAATTAACCCAGAATGTCTTGAATCGCTGTGCTCTCTGGCAAATTGGGAATACTGTATGTTCATGTGCTCACACTCAAATATTTGTTTGTTTTCTCTAACATTCTGCAGCTGTAACCAGAGTGTGGGCTTGTTTGCTGTGCATACAAACATAACATAACAGGGTGAAAGCTCTTCTTTCAATTTCCACAGTGATGAGGAGCGGTATCGTTACCGCGAGTATCAGGAGCGTGGTTACGGAGAGCGTCATCGTGACCGGGCGAGCCGAGAGAAAGAGGACAGACACAGAGAGAGGCGGCATCGAGAGAAAGAAGAGGGGGGACGCCACAAGTCCTCCCGCAGGTAGATGAACACACTATCACTCACACACACAATTTTCTTGTTAGGCTGTATTCACACAGATTTAGACCCGTCACAGATGACATGCTTACATTTTGCATGAAAAACACAGCCCTTGTCATTCATTTGAATGGGCGGAAGTGTGTTACACAGCCAGGGCTGGCATGATGCAGTGTCATGCAGGAAGAAAGCTGGATCTGGTTCAGCTTTGCCTGCAACACATTCTAGCAAGGCACTGCGTTGTCCAGTCATGTATACGGAAACGCACATTCCTAGTGGATTACTTTGGAACAGGAACGCTGTGTTTTTGGTGTTTACGACCAAAGAAAGAACAGTTGTTGCCATGATAACTTTACAGAGCAGTAAGATCCTGCCTGTGAGTATTATGAACAACTGTGCATTGTTGTGGCATCTAAACCGTTTCTCTGCCTTAAGTTTATGGTTGGTAGTTTAAACTACCAACCACCCAAAGGATCCCAATTTCCTACCTTACTACATTAGTTACTTAAAAATCCTTATTTACAACTGGCCCATCTACTGTGTAGTATTTCCCCACTATGGAGACATAGTTTTAGATGTAGTGCCTATCTTTCTGGCTATTTCCTGCTCTTTTTCAAATTTGTTTAAACTCAGAAAACCCCATCCAGCGTTATGCGAGAGAGCATCTTAACACAGGTCTCCTACCAAGCACCTGTTCCTTTTCTTTCTCTTTATGATTCTTCTTCTCCTTTTGCCTTGTTTTCATGTCATTTCACCTTTTATTTCACCCACTGATCATCTCGTCTCTCTTTATCCCAATCTCCCTCCTTACCTTTTATCTCCTTTTCTCTTCTTGCTGTCTCTCCCTGCCCCGTATTCTGATCTCTTTCCTCTACCCCTCTCCCCATCTATTCACCCCCTCTGCCCTTTTCACCCTCTCATCTTTCTCCTCCCATTAGCAGCAGTAGCAGAAGGAGGCACGACAGCGAGGAGGGCGACAGCCACCGGAGGCACAAGCACAAGAAAAGCAAGAGGAGCAAGGAAGGCAAAGAGGCTAGCGAGGAGATCAGTGCCGACCAAGAGAACCAGGAAACCATGGAGTAGTGATGTCCACCGCCCATCTTTCCCCTGTCTGTCCGTCTCCTTTCCTGTCTGTCTCCCAGAGAAAGAAGGAGAGAGAGGAGATGAGCATAGATCAAAACCAGAAAGTCCCGGTGTGATCGATGTGTCCTGTCACTCCCCTCCCCACTTCATCCTCCTCCATCCTGCTGTTGCTCATCCTCACCATCACTTCAGAGGAGGTGGCAAAGGTGGGATGGTTGTCTTCTTACTTTATCAATCTTTCCACCACTGGCTGACCTCAGGCAGAGCATCGATATGTTCTTCACCTCTTTATCTCAGCCCATCTGTCAGAGCACTGAGGTTTCACTGTATAGTCAGGGTGATCAGCAGCAGAATCTGTTTGTCTTTTTGTTCTTGTCCTGTATGAAGACAGTTATAGAAAGCTGTCAGTTTAAGTTCAATTAAAATAAAACACTTTTGATAAAATGTATTGTTGTGAGTTTCTTTGAATAAACAGTCCAGTTATTCTGTGATTATTAATCTCACAGGCACTTGAAGCCACTTATGAATTTTTAAAATCAGCTTTGCATCTGAAACCATAGAAATTGTCCTCCAGCCAAAACTGTGTCGCTATTTCTTTTGGGTGTTTGAACTTCACTGTGCAGTTTGACTCTAGAAGGCTGGTTTCACATTGATAAACAGAACATTTCTCTGTATTCATCTTAAATCTCTGTTTAATGTGTGTATGCCAATGCTGAACTTTTTATGTTCGTTTTTCCCAACACAACCTTTAAAATGGAAAATACATATTTATTGACTTGAATTTTTTAGCAGATAGCTAGGGGATTGAATGGGTTGTGGATAAATATATCAGATTACTCAAAGCAAAATGTTTTCTTCTGTCTTAAAATGTATATGTAAAAGAAGGCAAAATAAAAAGGAGCGTGTGTGTGAGACGGACTGAAGTAAAGCTTGAGAAAAGAGGCCTATACAGGATGAAATGTGTTGCTGAGTCTTCTCTCACTGGGACACTGCTGCTTTGAGCAGCTGTTGGCAGTCTGGTGACACTGACAGCTGTCAGCGATGAGGGCGTAAGTGCTCCACTGCTTTACTTTGCATCTTAAGTATCTGTATTTCATTTCAACTCTGCTAGAATAAGACATCATGATCTCTACTTAGGAAGCATACCAACTGTCCTGCTACAGGTTTATATATTTTAAATACAGAAGACAGGTGAGAGGTTTGTACATGCTGTAGAAAAGCAGGGCCGCTGTCGTGAACACCAGTATGCTTGTATTTAAGGCAGAACAGCTTATCAAACTTTGAGGTCTGAACTGAATTTGAGAAAGACGAGGAAATAAATACAGTGTGTCAGGAGTCTGGTTCCATCACATACACTACAGTTCAGCTATAAGTACACAGTGTTTACTGTCTCCAGTTACTTGCACC